TATGGTTCATGGGGTCACGAAGAGTCGGACACGACTTAACGACTAAACAACAACAACAACCGCAGGGAAGGTCGCAAATGGGGATCATGTGACCACAGCTCACTGTGATGTCATAATCGCAAGCCAGACACCCAAGCGCCTAGATCGCGATCACATGACTGTGGGGACGCTGCAATAGCTGGAACACCAAGGACCGGTTGTAAGTCCCCCTTGTTCAGCACCGTCATAACTTTGAATGGTTGCTGAATGAGTAATTGTAACTGAAGGACTATCCATATAGACCTTTCTTGTGTTAGAATGAGCTGACAGAATAAGCAGAGGATGCTAAAACAGCCCAAAGAGTGATGGAGTTGCTAAAAAGCCAACACGATTCTACATTCTGTCAGTTGAAGTAGTTTCCAGCCATGGTACGTCATGCTGTAGTCTCAAGGACAGGGTCCAGGTCTGGTACCCCATTTCAAGAAGTCTTAGAGAAACTGGACAAGTTCAGAGGATGGCAATAAGGATGATCGGGGGGTCCCAAAAAGCCAAGTGGCCAGTTAGGTCGTGAGAAAACAGGATGGAGGGGGAATATGATTGGCCCCTTGAGACGCCTGTAGAAGAAGGTCAAGGCCTGGCCCCCATCACCCCAGAGCACTGGGGCTGGAAAACAGCCTGAACACGCGGGAAGGCAGATTCCCCAGACCCAAGAAAGAAGCGCTTGAGTCAATGGCCAAGAGAGGTGCTGGGGCTCTGCCTTCCTACGCAGACTGTGCTGATGTGGGGCTCGGCGGCCTCTCTCTGGGAGCTTTAATTTGGACTCCTGCTCTGAGCGGGGGGGACCCCCTGGCCTTGAAGCCCCTCCCAACTGTAGGGTTGCAGGAAAGCTGGGTGAAATCTCTTGATGGAGTTGAGCTCAGCCATTTTGGCGTGCAACCAGGAGTGTGGTGGGGGGTACATGTCATTCAGAAGTGATCCTTCTGCCAAGCTAACGTGGGCATCACTCCTTCTGTACCTGCAGAGCACGCCACGTCCCGTGTAGGACTCTTACCTGGAATCTGAGCTCTGCAGGTTCTTGACAGAAAGGACATAGCACGGAACCACCTTGCGCTTATGCATTTTGGTCAGATCTGATGGGGAGTATGTGAAAGAGACATTTCAGGAGGGGAGGCTCAGGGTTACGGTGCCCACCCGCAAGAAAGCGCTTGACGCTGCAGCCGGAGCCCACGCTGGAGAGTGACGCGCCTCCCGGCCACAGAGGCTGCCATCGGAAAGCTCCCCCAGCACCGTTTGAGGAGAAGGTGGGACATGATGTGAACCTGGGGGGGCCCACCAGGGGTCTCAAATGGCGCTGTTTGGCATCGGGTTTTCAGGAGCGTTGGGAGGTTCCCCAACACCTGGGTGTCCCAGCCGCCTGGTTCCCCTCCTCCTGCGCCCCCCCCCTTCCGTTAACTCAGAGTTTGGATGCACTGCAGCAACGCAGCCGAACCTCTGCTGCTTTGGGCAAGAGCCAGTTCGCGAGGCTGAACTGGCGGGACGGAGGGGGGGTGGCGTGCTCTGCCCCTCTACCTGCCAGGAGGTCAAACGTGGCGGTGGGGTGGGCCAGGAGGCGGTGCCGGTTGCGCTTCCAGCTGCAGCGGTTGGAGAACACCTCCGTGGGCACAGCATCCGACTCCACGCAAAAGGTGTCGCAGGCAGCCTGCGGGGAAGGGGCCAGAGGTCAGGGCCCTGCAGCAAGCG